CCTCGCTACTCCCCTCCCCCGCCCCGGAACCCGCTGCTGGGATCCGGGCGTACCTGCCCCTCAAGGGTGCGGGTGGGACGGTTGCCAAAGTTGCGAGGAAAGAGAGAGAGAAAGAGAAGCAGTCCTGGGCGTTTGAGCATGCCCGGCGCCTGCAGCCACGCAAGGGTTTGCAGAACGTGTGGGCTTGTGTGAAGGACCGTGGGAAATAGAGCGAAGTGAGCAAGGAACCGAACCGGGGCCCTGCGAAACCCGAAGGGGGAAGCACCCGAGAGCGAAGCTGGAAGGGAGTCTTGGAGCTGCCAAAGTCCGTTTCCTTCCTGCCGTTCCTTTCTTTTCCTCTAGCTTCCCCTTTGGTCTGTGCTCACCTTCCTTTTTCATAGGGAACGCATTAGGAAGGATTTCTTCCTAACCCGACAGAGCGTTTGACAGAGAATCAAAGAATTACTCTAAAATGACAAGGACAGTAAAACACACCAAGTCTGTGCCCCCGTGGTAATGGATCTCCTGTAGGGCACGTGTAAGTTCCTTGCCAGGCTGTGTACCCGTGTTTATGACCGTGTTGTAACTCCGCTGCCAGTGGCATGTCCTTTCTTTTTTCAGGTCTTAGCTTCCTTAATGGTAAATGAGCTGTTGATTGACAGTATAATCCCTCTTTCCAGGCCAAGGCCTAGGTGGCTTTTCACCCAGCACGAGGGGAGCAGTGTAGGCCTAATGTCTCAGCTCTCCCTGCCAGTTGCACTGCCGGTTACAGACGAAATGTTGACTAATTATATGATGAAGCCACTAGCAAAGAAAATGCCTTCACTGACAAGATAAAAAAAAAAAAAAAAAAAAAGTAGGAAATTGCTCTTTGGGTCCCGTTTGAAAATCCTATTTTCTACAAATAATTTGGAGAACTGGTGTTAAGCCTGAAGGTATGTCTGAGCTGATGACACAGGCACAATAGCTTATTTAGCTGCAGGTTGGAGCCCCTTGGAGCAGGCAGAGCTTGTAGGTACCCAATTGTTCAAGAGTCAAACCTGCTGGGCACAAGGCATGCAATTTTTAAGAACTGCCTCAGCTTTTCCTAGGAATTTTCAAAATCGGACAAAAAAAAACCTGCACGCTTTTGTGGTGCCCCTTCACCCACTACCTCCTTTGTATTTCCTGACACTCTAAATGCTCATCAGGAACCTCAGAATTAAGGAATGCAACATTCAACCGAGTGTGGGTGAGACCTTTGCAGCCATCAGTACTTCCTCTACGCTTCAGGCAAGCCGAAGTGTGGGGTCAGCAGTTCAGCCAGAGCGGAATCAATCAATCGGCACTGAGCGGTGGTGAAAACAAGCGCGCACCTCGTGTTCGGTGAAGTGACATGGTAAAGAATTACATGAATAAAACCCCTTCCCTCTGAAGAGCCTGTCAAGAAGGTGAGGAGGTGAAAGAAATGAACGTAAGAAGTGAAGCCAAACTTCCAAGAGGATGTAAAACAATGGAGTGAGTGCAGGAAGAACTTTTGAGGGAAGCGATAACTGGCAAGGACTTGAAGGAGTATGACCTGGAACAGGCTGCCAGGCAAAATATGGTGATCAGATGGCTTAAACAACAGGCATGTATTTCTCACATTTCTCAAGTCTGGGAAGTCTAAGACTAAGGGGCCAATCAATCCTGGGTACTTCGGTGAGGGGATGAGGGCTTTGTTAATGGCTCGTGCATGGCCACTTCCCTAAGTGGAAGGAGTAGAAAGAGAAGAAAGAGGACCAGGAATGAGAGAAGGGGGAGATTTCTCTCTGGTCTCCCCTCCTTACACTGTCATTCATTCGTACTCCGCTTTCAGGACTCCATCTATATCTAGGTCCTTCCCAAAGGCTCTGTCTTCAGCTTAAGAGTACTGAAGAGGCATAGCATAGCAGTCAGTCCAGAATAGGGAATATTTTGTTTATATGAAAATCTAAGTAAAAGATTAACAGACAAACTATGCATAGCAGTCCGCAATTACTTTATGATTGAAATGAAGTTTGCTGGGATGAATGGAAGAGCAAGGAGCAAAATTTTAAAAGAACTGTAAATGTTAAGATGAAGAGTGGGACTTGAGTGCTAAGTGTGCCTACATTCTCCTGAGTCAGGTAATACATGTGTAAGAGGAAAAGGCTCTTTGTAGCACATGTAAAACAAATGAGTTGCTAATAAGTGGATGACATTAGTAATCAGCTATGAGATGATAACCATCAATCGGACTAATAACTTATATAATTATGATGCTGCAAAACGTGATTCAACAATCTTCTCAAGGAGATGGCTCAGCCATTACTAAATCATCTAATTTATAGAAAGTAAAGGAGTAAAGTTGGAATTACAGTGGTTAAAAACCTACTTCTGAACACTTGTTTTAACGGGTATACCAAGACATAAATCACTTTCCATGACATCTCCCCATTTGAAGTGTTCAACGCAGTGGCTTTTAATAGAGACACAAAGGTCTACCACAATGGTCATACCATTTGTAAAATGTTTTGTGACCCCCTCCCCTCAAAAAAATCCCTCATCTTTTAGATTTACAGATCCCAAACTGAAACCATTTTTGTTGGGGATCATGTGAGCTTCTAAGTGAAGAATGGAAGGGGGGCGGGGAATACTATTGAGGTGATACAGAGGATGTAGTGGTTAGAGCTAATAGTCATGGGGGGGGGGGGGTGTTAAAAAAATTAACTGAGGTAAGAAGGCCTAGCCACTGTAGGTGGCAGAACTCAAGGCATTCTTTCAGTATAAGAGTTACAATACCATGACAAAGGAATTGGAATTGGGCTGGTTTTTTGTTGTTGTTGTTGTTGTTGTTTAAACTCTGGTTGAGGCCTGCTACCACTTAGCCATCCCAAAATCTACAGGCGGCACTTTCCGTGTAGGTAGTTTCATTTTCATGATGGACCTTTCTCCACTGCAAAGTTCAGTCTCCCTCAAGGAGCTTCAGAGACAGTGGTCTCAAACAACAAGGTCTCTAAGAGGAGGTTATGGAGAATGAGAGAACAGTTCAATTTATAGAACAGTTTGTGAGTGCATGTAAATGTGAGGACATTCTGAAGGACTCAGGAATATTGGGACAATTTTAATTTCCCCAAACTAAAATGTATTTGGGAGACTTAATTTCCTGCTGAAGCTAGTAAGTCCTTGTTGGTGAAGCCTGGGAGGCACAGGTGAAGGAGGGAGATTTAAAATAATAATAATAATAATAATAATAATAATAATAATAATAATAATAATAA